CCAGCGTCCACATCTACATCTTTTATTCTAACCGTGGGGAAAATGGCAATAGAGTGGGGGCCAGTGTATGCTCCCATTACTTAACCTTAATAAAACTGCCCTCAAACTGGATCCTTAAAATTAATTTCCTCCCCCATTCACCTCCCTGCGGCTGCCCCATTGGCCGAAAAATTTCTCCAGCTGCGGAATTCCGGACTTGGCAACTACCAGCACAGAGTGTGCTTACCATTCAGGAGCCAGCCTGCCTGATGGCTCGAAGCCTAGCACCTGGTAGGATCTCATTATTTGGTAGCTCTTACAGGACTTAGCGTAGTTGCTTGCACACAGTGGATGCACATTCGAGGAGACAGTATGGCATAAGAGCAGCCTCTATGCAGACAGGGCAACTGATATGTCAGAAACTGAAGGAAGAAAGTACTTGGCAGAGGGCGGAGACAAGATGGCTGACTAGGAGGATGCAGAATTCCTGTCTCTGCACAACTAGGGCACCTACCAGGCACCAGGGGGGGACCAGGGACCGTGGACACCAAAAGGGACAGGAGGAACCCCAAGCCACCAACTTGTGGGATCTTGGTTCCCAGGCTGGAGGTCAGGCCCGAGTTCCTGTGGTGGGAGCTCTGAGTCCAAACCACTGGACTAACAGAGAATCTCAGACCCCAGGGAATATTAATTGGAGTGAGGCCTCCTGGAGGTCCTAACCTCAGCACCAACACCAGGCTCTATCCAACTGGCTTCAAACTACAGTGCTGCACGCCTCAGGCCAAACAACCAGTAAGACAGGAATACAGCCCCACCCAGCAAAAAAAAAAAAAAAAAAAAAAGAAACAACAAAAAAATATGTTACAGATGAAGGAGCAAGGTAAAAACCTACAAGACCAAATAAATGAAGATGAAATAGGCAACCTACCTCAAAAAGAATTCAGAGTAATGATAGTAAAGATGATCCAAAATCTTGGAAACAGAAAGGAGAAAATAAAAGAAACATTTAATAAGGATCTAGAAGGACTAAAGAGCAAACAAACAGTGATGAACAACACAATAACTGAAATTAAAAGTACTCTAGAAGGAATCAACAGCACAATTACTGAGGCAGAAGAACGGATAAGTGAGCTGGGAGATAAAATGGTGGAAATAACTGCCGGGGAGCAGAATAAAGAAAAAACAATGAAAAGAACTGAGGACAGTCTCAGAGACCTCTGGGACAACACTAAATGCACCAACATTCGAATTACAGGGGTTCCAGAAGAAGAGGAGAAAAAGAAAGGGTCTGATAAAATATTTAAAGAGATTATAGTTGAAAACTTACCTAACATGGGAAAGGGAACAGTCAATCAAGTCCAGAAGTGCAGAGGCTCCCATATAGGATAGACCCAAAGAAAAACATGCCAAGACACATATTAATCAAACTATCAAAAATTAAATACAAAGAAAAAAATATTAAAAGCAGCAAGGGTAAAGCAACAACTAATATACAAGGGAATTCCCATAAGGTTAACAGCTGATCTTTCAGCAGAAACTCTGCAAGCCAGAAGGGAGTGGCAGGACATATTTAAAGTGATGAAAGGGAAAAACCTACAACCAAGATTACTCTATCGGGCTTCCCTGGTGGCACAGTGGTTGACAGTTCGCCTGCTGATGCAGGGGACACAGGTTCGTGCCATGGTCCAGGAGAATCCCACATGCCGCGGAGCAGCTGGGCCCGTGAGCCATGGCTGCTGAGCCTGTGCGCCCGTAGCCTGTGCTCCACAATGGGAGAGGCCACAGCAGTGAGAGGCCCGCATACTAAAAAAAAAAAAAAAAAAGATTACTCTACTCAGCAAGGATCTCATTCAGATATGACGGAGAAATTAAAATCTTTACAGACAATTAAAAGTTAAGAGAATACAGCACCACAAAACCAGCTTTACAACAAATGCTAAACGAACTCCTCTGGGCAGGAAACACAAGAGGAGGAAAAGACCTACAATAACAAACCCAAAACAATTAGAAAATGGTAACAGGAAAATACATACCGATAATTACTTAAATGTAAATGGAATAAATGCTACAAACAAAAGACATAGACTAGCTGAATGGATACAAAACCAAAACCCATATATATGCTGTCTACAAGAGACCCACTTCAGACCTAGGGACACAAACAAACTGAAAGTGAGGGGATGGAAAAAGATATTCCATGCAAATTAAAGTCAAAAGCAAGCTGGGGTAGCAATTCTCATATCAGACAAAATAGACTTTAAAATGAAGACTATTACAAGAGACGAAGAGGACATGACATAATCATCAAGAGATCAAACCAAGAAGAAGATATAACAATTGTAAATATTTATGCACCCAACATAGAGCACCTTGATACATAAGGCAAATGCTAACAGCCATAAAAGGGGAAATCGACAGTAACACAATCATAGTAGGGGACTTTAACACCACACTTTCACCAATGGACAGATCATCCACAATGAAAATAAAATAAAGAAACACAAGCTTTAAATGACATATTAAACAAGGTGGAATTGATTGATATTTATGTGACATTCCATCCAAAAGCACCAGAAACTTTCTTCTCAAGTGCTCATGGAACATTCTCCAGGATAGACCATATCTTGGGTCACAAACTGCGTCTTGGTAAATTTAACAAAATTGAAATCATATCAAGTATCTTTTCCGACCACAATGCTATGACACTAGATATCAATTACAGGAAAAAAACTATAAAAAATACAAATACATGGAAGCTAAAATATACGCTAATAAATAACCAAGAGATCACTGAAGAAATCAGAGGAAATCAAACAATACCCAGAAACAAATGGCAATGAAAACACAACAACCCAAAACCTATGGGATGCAGCAGAAGCAGTCCTAAGAGGGACGTTTACAGCAATACAAGCCTACCTCAAAAAACAAGAAAAATCTCAAATAAACTAGCTAACCTTACACCTAAAGCAACTGGAAAAAGAAGAACAAAAAAACCCCAAAGTTAGCAGAAGGAAAGAAATCATAAAGATCAGATCATAAATAAGTGAAAAAGAAATGAAAGAAACAGTAACAAAGATCAATAAAACTAAAAGCTGGTTCTTTGAGAAGATAAACAAAATTAATAAACCATTAGCCAGACTCAACAAGAAAAGAAAATAGAAGATTCAAATCAACAGAATTAGAAATGAAAAAGGAGAAGTAACAACTGAGTCTGGAAATACAAAGGAGCATGAGAGATTACTACAAGCAGCTATATTCCAATAAAATGGACAAGCTGGAAGAAATGGACAAATTCTTAGAAAAGCGTCACCTTCCAGGACTGAACTAGGAAGAAAAACAAAATATAAACAGACCAAACACAAGCACTGAAATTGAAATTGTGATTAAAAATCTTCCAACAAACAAAAGTCCAGGACCAGATGGCTTCACAGGTGAATTCAATCAAACGTTTAGAGAAGAGCTAATACCTATCCTTCTCAAACTCTTCCAAAATATAGCAGAGGGAGGAACACTCCCAAACTCATTCTATGAGGCCACCATCACCCTGATACCAAAACCAGACAAAGATGTCACAAAGAAAGAAAACTACAGGCCAATATCACTGATGAGCATAGATGCAAAATCCTCAACAAAATACTAGCAAACAGAATCCAACAGCACATTAAAAGTATCATATACCATCATCAAGTCGGGTTTATCTCAGGAATGCAAGATTCTTCATTATACGCAAATCAATCAATGTGATACACCATATCAACAAACTGAAGGATAAAAAACATATGATAAACTTGATAGATGCAGAAAAAGCTTTTGAAAAAATTCTGGGCTTCCCTGGTGGCGCAGTGGTTGAGAGTCCGCCTGCCGATGCAGGGGACACGGGTTCGTGCCCCGGTCTGGGAAGATCCCACGTGACGCAGAGCGGCTGGGCCGGTGAGCCATGGCCGCTGAGCCTGTGCATCCAGAGCCTGTGCTCCGCAACGGGAGAGGCCACAGCAGTGAGAGGCCCATGTACCGAAAAAAAAAAAAATTCAACACTGATTTACGATAAAAAACTCTCTAGAAAGTAGGCACAGAGGGAACCTACTTCAACATAATAAAGGCCATATATGACAAACCCACAGCAAACATTGTTCTCAATGGTGAAAAATTGAAAGCATTTCCTCTAAGATCAAGAACAAGACAAGGTTGCCCACTCTCACCATTATTATTCAACATAGTTTTGGAAGTTTTAGCCACAGCAATCAGAGAAGAAAAAGAAATAAAAGGAATCCAAATGAGAAAAGAAGAATTAAAACTGTCACTGTTTGCAGATGACATGATACTGTACATAGAGAATCCTAAAGATGCTACCAGAAAAATACTAGAGCTAATCAATGAATTTGATAGAGTAGCAGGATACAAAATTAATGCACAGAAATCTCTTCCATTCCTATACACTAATGATGAAAAATCTGAAAGAGAAATTAGGGAAACACTCCCATTTATCATTGCAACAAAAAGAATAAAATACCTAGGAATAATCCTACCTAAGGAGACAAAAGATCTGCATGCAGAAAACTATAAGACACTGATGAAAGAAATTAAAGATGATACAAACAGATGGAGAGATATACCAAGTACTTAGATTGGAAGAATCAACATTGTGAAAATGACTATACTACCCAAAGCAATCTACAGATTCAGTGCAATCCCTATCAAACTACCACTGGCATTTTTCACAGAACTAGAAAAACATTTCACAATTTGTATGGAAACATAAAAGACCCCAAATAGACAAAACAATATTGAGAAAGAAAAACGGAGCTGGAGGAATCAGACTCACTGACTTCAGACTATACTACAAAGCTACAGTAATCAAGACAGTATGGTACAGCCAAGAGCAAGAGAAGCCTCTGCAATTAGTCCGATTAATGAAAGCTGCTTGGCCACTTGGGCCTGGTAACCCAGAAGATCCTGCAATGATCACAGTGTCTGCAGCAGGTAAGGATACTGAATGGAATTTCTGTCCAGCCCCAGTAGAGGTACAGAACCCTAAGGTTTTGAAGCAAAGCCATGTCCTCCTCTTCAAATGTCTATTCACCTTTGAGAAACAGCTTCTGGCTTACTACTGAGCCCTAGTTGAGACTGAATGCCTGACCATGGAGCTCAAGGTACAATTCCATCATGGCTATTCATAATGAGCTGGGTATTTTTATTTTTTTTTAACATCTTTATTGGAGTATAATTGCTTTACAATGGTGTGTTTGTTTCTGCTGTATAACAAAGTGAATCAGCTATACATATACATACATCCCCATAGCTCCTCCCTCTTTCCTCTCCCTCCCACCCTCCCTATCCAACCCCTCTAGGTGGACACAAAGCAACAAGCTGATCGCCCTGTGCTATGTGGCTGCTTCCCACTACCTATTTTACATTTAGTAGTGTATATATGTCCATGCCACGCTCTCACTACGTCCCAGCTTACCCTTCCCCCTCCCTGTGTCCTCAAGTCCATTTTCTATGTCTGCATCTTTATTCCTGTCCTGCCCCTAGGTTCTTCAAACCATTTTTTTTTTTAGATTCCATATGTGTGTGTGTGTGTGTGTGTGTGTGTGTGTGTGTGTGTGTGTGTGTGTGTGT